ATAAATCAAATTCTGTGTAATAAGCGTAAGGTGGTGCATAAGAAGGCCTTTCTACTACTTGAAAGATAACACTTTATTTTTCATTATATTTCATTTAGCGTTCATAAATATCATTATTATATCAGCGTTTTTTGAACATTGTATGTCCTCTATAATAAACTTAGCAGTGTTTCTGTTTATTGTAGTATTTTTGCATTACCTTTAAAGTCCTTACTTCAAAAGCATGCAAATTCAATTATCTCTCTCTCCACTTAGCACAGAAAGAGTCCCCGAGTTTACGTATTAAGACGACGGTTTAGCCTAAGCTAAATACTTTAATGAATCACAGCAAAAGTTTGCAAGGAATTCTCTCCGCATACAAGGTATTTTTTCTTTGTGAGTTTGAAACGTTGTTCTTGCTTTTTAAAAATAAACTAAAAAGGAAAGTAATGTATCTTTGTCCATTCTAAAAATTGCGAGTTGTTGTTGAATAAAAGCTTATTTTTCATGGTTATCCGTTTAGGGGGTCGGGTACGAAAAATAAACATATATGATCCAAATTTGACACAGTTGATATTTGTGTCAAATTACTATCACGGATCATCGATTTAATCGCAAAATATTAAAAACTAAACCTTTTTAACTTATAAAAGGTTACTTTTCCTTTTTTTCCTTTTTTGGGAACCCTTGTACGTGGTTGGCATATAAAATATATCTCTACATAACCCAAATTTGATAGAGTTTTTGAATTCGTTTTAATTAAAATTTTAATAAATATTTAATTAAAAATTAGGCCGCTCTTCTATATACAGATTATATGGGAGGGGTTCAACCCATCTGACCTAAATTTTTCACATCACTTTGGTATTCGGAATAACGATTTTTGCCAAAAAACTTTGAAAATTGCTATTTTTTTATGTAACGACTGTTTCAAAATAATGCATTATATATGTGGGATGGTCGTTAAAAAGAGTCAAATTCAATTCATTTTCATTTCTGGGCCAAACCCACGCCAGTGCGCTAAACTTAGTCAAACTAACTCAAAAATTGCGAACTGCATGCAGCAATTGTTCAAAAAAATGCATGGACCAACACGAGAAGCAAATATGGACGGACTTACTTTAATCGACTCAGAGTATGAATGCAATGAATCGATCGTTCGAATGAAATATGGATCGATCTTAAGCCCTTTTGAATATTACTTACGTACACACAAACTTAATATGCCCTATACCAAAGGTGGTATAAGGTACATTTAGCGAAATTTTTTCGGAATTTGGCTCATATTCAAAGCAGTTACTTCCGACTGAATTAACAAATATCACACCGTCCTTTTTGTGTAAATTATCTGTTGACTTTCAAACACGCCTAGGATAAGTATTGTTTATCCATTGCATATTTACTATTTCAAAAAACACATTAACGAACATATCTATACGTATATACATATGTTTCTATAGTTTTAAGGCTTACATTAGCGAATTGCAAACACAACTAATACTTTAATTAGTACTTTGATTAATAGCCATTTACTTATTACTTTCTACTTAAAATTTTATAATCGTAATTTTACGAATGTAGCAGAGAATACAGCAACGAATTGCGCAGTTCACGCCAATATAATGTATAATATAGTGTATAGTGTTCAATGAACACATTTGCGGATTAAAAATCCATTGCTGAGAGTGAAGATACGATCAAATTAGCTTGTTTGACGTAACGGTAGTTTCAACTGGAGAAATAGAAGAAATTTAAACGAATGACAAAGGACATATTATTTGTAGATCTTTTACCCAACGAACTCCCAAGGGAGGAAGTCATTATTCCCCTATCAATACTTTAGTGCATTTATTGAAAGCTTTTGCTCTTCGGCGTAATCGCAGCTATTTTTCAGTTTACTTACAAATACAAGTACAAGTTTCTCCTGACATTCAATACGGTGATCAAATATATATATATATATTTAATTATTCATATATCTATCATAGTAAAGTTCTTGCACTCCTAGAAATGATATAAATTTAAATAAGTTACGATAGTAAAATTCCTCCATAGCTAGAAATTATATAACGAATTTAGTTCCACTTAGAGATAATATCTAAAAGAATATTATGTCATAGATTTCCGCATCATTTCAAACTAATAGCCGGAGTATTTATACCCGACATCGAGTAAACTCGATCATAATTTGAATATGTTCGATAGCAATTTTGGGATTCAAAAAATTTTGATTCAGCAGTACGAAAAATGCATACCTTATCAACAACTCATTACAGTGAATCTTTGATTCGCTGCGATCGGGGTGACTCGATACCGAGATTCATAAGCCGGTTCCAACCTTATGATTGTATGTCCGCTTAGTTTAAAGCGTATAAGAGACTCTCTGCTTTTCTCATAGTTGAAAGGAGATGCATGCTGTGGGCATTCATTCGGCTATGGCTATAAAGCGTCAACGAAAGAGACGAGACGAACAAAAACGGGCACGCGAAAGACGATACAGTACGCAGAGTTCGGAAAGCGGGGAAACATTTCATTCACCCAGTGGATCATTTCGCCGCAAGTATCATCAGGCTCATCATGCTGTCAAACCAGGCCCAGGAATGCTCGATAGTCAAGTAACTGAATTCTTGAAATTGAAATCATTATTTAAAATGACTATTTTTATGTACTTAGGTAGTAACCAGTATAGGGATGTTACATATTGGTATAGTATTCATAGTATTTGGTTTATTTTTATGTGGTGCTGGGATTATACCGGACGAGACCATGTCTTGGAATGTTTTTAGTAAGTTTTCCTTCTAATTGTTCGAAACTGTAATAACACTTCGATTATATTTTTTTAGGCTCTAGTACGGCCTGGTGGAATGAAGTTACCGCTACAGGAATTTTTTCATTGGGTCTTGGCGTATTTTTACTAATTTTGAACTGCCTAATAAGTCGAAAGGAAGAGGAAGATCTGGAAGACTATGTTCAACGTCAATTGACTAGATCCAGATCGGGCCATCGTCTCGAACGTGACGTTGAAACAGGCGTATTAACGACGCGACATACCCGCAAAGCAGTAGCACTACAAAAAAATGGGCAAAACGATACATCAACTGATGTGGCTTTAGTGAATAGTTCAGCTACTGATATTGTTGCCAACGGCTCTATAGCAGGCAGAAATTGTAAGTAGATGAGGATGAAAACGGTAGCAATTATTAGAATGGGTATAGATTTTAGTTCTTTTTTCGAAAAATGTTTTCAAACCTTACAATATTACCACTGAATGTATTTCCAATCTAAGAGATGCATACTCCAAGATATGAATTTTTTTATGCGTTTTGAAATTCTTAGGTTTGAATACTTCCGCTGACATATTACTGGAAAGAATCGTGGAAGAGGACACTGCATATCTAAATGATCGCAGTCCTGGCATATCGCCAGTGGAAATAGAAAACGATACCAAACAATTATTACGTAGTGAATCCATTAACGATACAATCAATATAACACGAATATAAGACGATACATTACAAATAGCGAAAAATATAAATATAAATAGAAATAACGTTTAGGACGCACATTTATATATCCATATAAAAACAATGCAATTTTAAAGTAAATACCTTTTCATTTTCTTTCTTATGAATACGAAAAGTTTTACTGAAGGTCTTCTTTTTTTTTCATTGAAAACGTTAATTAAGCATAATGTTAAGCCAGAATCTCTCTAAAAATTAATTGTAAGAAAAAAGAACATAAATAAGAAAATTGAAAAAAAAAAATATGTAAACGCCAGACCACATACGTGCATAAGTTTTTTTACTTAAATTTACTACACTTTTACAACGATTTTATTATGAACATTACATATATATACGTATGTATGTAGATGCATTATATATATATACAACTTATAAGGACACCGTATATATGTATATATGTATATATATATAAAGGTATATGTATGCATCAATAATATTAAAGCAAAGTGAAAAATTAATTAAATTAACGCACTAAATTCTATACGTATGTATGTCGATACATATGTTTATATTTATAGCAAATTTTATTCCAAATCTTATATATTTACGCAAAAATAATTATAAAAATAACAAACAGAAAACACATTGTGTATGGCTGAATCAATCTGTCAAATGAAAGCAGAACAATTATTAATCTTATTAAAAATCATTCCAAAAAAGGTAAAATAACCTGTAACCAAATTTTCTTATGCGCATAAGGAAGTATTTTTTTTATTTTTTTTGCATTGCTTTTATTATATATTTTGTATATGATTTCCCCATAAAACCACATGGAAATCCAACAAAGGAAAAACACAAAGAGACTATCATTGCAACATATAATAAAATTTTCTACCTAATTAATAACGAGATGTATACACTTTTCACCTACTTATATATTATGCTATATATAAAAATATTAAAATAATTGAAACTATAAAAAACGATATAAGCAATGTTTTTATTGTTTTCGCATTTGCTGAACTTAAAATAATGTAATGTCCTTTATATCCTAGTTATTTTCTCTTTCTAAAATATATTTACCCTCTCTTACTTAAGTACTCCTATTTTATCTTTTTTAATATGTAAATCTACATTTGTTTTTTAATATGCATCCGTTGGATTAACGTTATAATGTAAATATATATTAAAATTTTTCTTTAATCTAATATTTTTTAAAGACGATTTATTTTGTGGGATGATATGTATAAAGAAAAGCACTCGATAATATCAACTGATCCACTATGCTTTCCGTTATCACCTTCCTCATTCATATTCAAATCCGCGTTGACGTTAATTTTTAATACAGAATAATGTATTTTTCTGTCTATTGACATACTGACACCATTGACACTAGTTATGCTGTGCTTTGCATTTCACGCAATTGGCCTGAGAAAAAGAAGAAGCATTACAATCAGCTGACGTTAAATATTACACATTTATTTTTAAATAATTTCCGCCAATCGAGCATAAGTTGTTTTTGTGGTATACGAAATTCTTTCGGAACCAAATAAATTAAACACGAAAAAAGAAAATGTCTACCGACATTAGAAAAGTTTTAAGTGAACTGTATCCGTGCCGTAGCGATTTTATAGGAAAATTATGTGATTTACTTTTGGAAAGTTTACCTCATGTATTGTACGTATATGGTCATTCTGGAACTGGAAAAACTGTTATTCTTAGAGACCTCTTACGCCTGATGGGGAAAAATACCAACTTTAAAACTTCTTATGTTAATTGTATTGAGTGCTACTCGACAAAAGTATTATTGGAAAACATACTGAATGATCTTTGCAGTATCGAAGGAGTTAACATAAATTGCGAGAATGTGAACCAATTTACAGAGTTTCTCAAATGCTTTTATACAAAACCAACACACACCAGTCTTATAATGGTTCTAGATCAAGCGGAACGCTTAAGGGATATGGATGGGAATGTTTTGCCCTCTTTAATGCGCTTGCAAGAACTAACAGGTCTAAACGTTTGTGCTGTGTTGGTAGGCCAAATCTCGTTTGAGAAGTATTATGTCGCCAATGGGCTACCCGAGTTAGTAACATTAAACTGCGGTCAATACACAAAATGCGAAATTCTTCACATATTAAGTAACCATTTTGATGCAGCAAGAAACAACTTAAAGGACTATATTATCCAGCACCAGCTAGATAAAAATGATATGCAAGAAAAATTACATATAGTAGAGAATATTACTATAGAATTTTTTAATAATTACTTAAACATATTTTTATATGTTTTTCACAAAGCTTGTCGTGATTTACCAGAATTGAAGAATACTGCTGATGTATGCTTTATATCATATATGAAGCCTGTGCTTAGTAGAGAAGTGGATATTATGGATGCACAGAAGCTCTGGCGGAGTATAACCCCCACCCTTCGTACTGCTCTCACACAAATTTATATGCGTTATGATAATCCCTACGAATTAGTAAGACATTAATACCCCGCCAAAGATGATTTAATATTAATTTTTTTTATTGATAGAAATGTTCGTCTGACAATGAGATACAAAAAATCGCTCGGTCCTTTGAATTGCCTTTTTATGGGAAGTATTTGCTAATTGCGGCGTTTTTAGCTAGCCACAATTCTGCCAACGCAGATAAGCGTTTATTTGTAAAACATCACGGAAAGAAACGCAAACGATTGCAAGACGTTAATGCTAAAGCTAAAGTGAGCCTTTCTTATAATGTATTTACTTCAAACTATATTAAGAAAAATTGAACAGGTTTTCGAGAAAACATCTGCTGCTATTGGCCCTAAAACATTCACTATTGACCGCTTGCTAGCAATATTTTATGCTATACTCGACGAGAAGGTTGGTCTTACTTGTAATTTGCTTTCTCAGATATCCACGCTGGTGCAACTCAAACTTTTGAGTTTTGTTAGCAATGAAAATAATATAATGGATGGATCAGCTCGATTGCAATGTACTGTGGGCCTTGAATTCGTAGTCTTTATAGGCAATGTTGTAGGATTTAATATACGTCAATATTTATGCGACTTTATGTGAAAATTCCAAATAAATATGTTTTAATATCACTTATGTGAATCGTCTCTGCCAAAGAACTATCGCGGTTTCGAAGTTTCAAAAGTCCTGTTTTTAACGAATCTTTCTCTATTAGTATTGCATAAGGTATGCCAAGTAAATCAGTACGTTTAAGTTCTTCAATAAGCGTGCTATAATTACTTTGATGGATATGCCGATCATAAACACGTAGACCTAATTTTCGTATTATATGGCAAATATGTAAGCACAGATCGATCAAATCTTTGTTCAACTTGTCTCCTTCGTGCAAACAGGCTAGAGCGCATTGAAAAGGTGCTAATTTACGATTTAAACTTATTAAAAGTCGTTGATTATTTTCTACGGCATCCAGCAACAATGCTAAAGGGAAGCAAAATTGTGTTTAAAAAAATGGCGGAAGAAAATTTTATAAAGGTACCTGTAGTAGCAATTTCAAGATTGATCGATGAACGTATTAGGCATATTGGAGGATTTGTAGAATTCTCGTATTGGGGATAAGCTAAAGTGATAGCTTCCATATCTTCAGAGCCGAAAGCAAAGCGACTTTTCACGGTTATAGATTGATTAATATGCTGAAATTTATCATGGGTGGTTACATTTGGATCCTTAAAAGGTTCTACGAAAAAGCGACTAGGATTTGCTGAAAGTCGCATCCACCATATCTTACGCTCGCGTTGCAATTTGTAAAATTTTTCTAAACCAAGTGATGTTTGTAAAAAATAGTCAGATATCAATTTTCTGCTAGATATAGCTTTTAAAGTGACTAGGCTTGCATTACGTTCTTCTTTTACAGCTATTGACTTCATTAAAATCGGATAACTAAGCCTTTGCGCCTTTCTCGCACAATCTAGATAATGTTTTTGAAAATCTTTGCAATTCAAAAAGGATACTCTGGATTCCCTCATTTCATTATCGGCAGAATTGCGTACATTACTATTTAGAAAATCAACTTTTCCCCAGTCACAATTAATATGGCGCCATTTTTCCAGCAATTGATACATAAATTTTTGACCATTTTCTTCGAGCCCAACATTTAAAATTTTATTGCCATCCACTAAATCACCACATAAAAACTTATTTTTCTGAAGTAAATTTAGCATATGTTTTAGGGACTTCATAGTAGTAATTAATGTTCAGGTTTTTCAGTGTTATTTTCTTCTTGATGTAGTGGTATATTTCCGGGTGGTGATATAAAATAATCTTCTTCTACTAGTTTTGCGTTTTTTAATATTTCTTCGCGATCGTTGGCTTGATTGACTCGATCATCTCGCAAATGCTGTATTTGGTCTTCTAACACAGTATAGAGGGGCTTCAGGTTATGGGTGTTTATATTACTTATTTTCACCGCGAATTGTATACTTTTTCTTAAGGTTGCTAATATCTCTGCGCTATCAAAATTCACTAAGGAGAGACGTTCTAAGAGTTGAATGGTTTTGCCATCTATTTCGATTTTCTCCGTAGGTTCTGCGAACGTAGCCGATATAGCTTGATTGGGCACCGTACTACTACGTTGCAATTTAGAAAACTCCAATTTATTTTTCAGCACAGCTTTACATAACGGTTCCGTGGCTATTTTACAATACGGACGGCCGTACAAGACGTTGCGACTCATTTTACTTAGGAAATTCATTTCTTGAAAGAAACTTTATGTTAACGATGAAACAGTTGATATAAACAGCTGATATTAAAATTGCAAACCTTACTGTCCCTTTCGCACTAAACACTGCTTTCTATTTTTCAAAATTTGCGGGAACCTCCTCACGCTCCATTATTTTTGTCGTAAGCGCTATTATTTTTATTTAACAACAAAAAAACAAAACAAAAAAAATTGAAACTAAACTAAATACATATTCAAATTTGAAAATTAATTATTTTTTTGACAGCTCACGTGAGCATGAATTATTACTTTTGTAAAAGGTTCCTGATGTTGTTAACTAAAAAAGATCTTTCTAAAAGTTTTTTAGCTTAAATTCCAGTATACTCCTAAAAGTGTACACAGGTATAAACGAAAATATTCGCTAATTGAAATTCACTCCTGATTTTTGGTAAATTTGGAAACTAGTACACAAATTATTGACGAAATGTTTTAAAAAGAATTTTCAATTTTTCAATAATCGGATTTAATATAAAGTATTTAAAGCAGGTAATTAAAACAAAATTAAATATAAAAATCAACGTCGAACCGCCAAATTTAATTTCAATATGAAGTTTGTATAGTGTCCTGTTCAAGAACCTCCTGAACTTTTTTTGAAGCAAATACAATAATGTCTATTTTAATTTTATCTCTCTTGTTCTCTTCGACGCCTTTCAATATTGATGCTAAGAATTTGTGAAATCCATCGTCCTCGACGTCACGTTTGAATTTTTTTTCAACTAATGCCGTTAAAGTTCCCAATAAGGAATTAAATTGATCCCAAGGTTCATCCCTGGCTCGCTTTTGCGGTTTAGAAGTCGTTGGCTCGTCGTCTTCAGGTAAAAGTAGAGGAGAGTGGTCGACAGATGGTAGGGACTGCGTAGTACATTGATCTTCAAATATATTTGATTCTTCAAATGTCAGTTCGTCTTTGAAAAACTCGTCTCTATTTCTTTTATCGCCAGCGTCCCTGTGGTTTTCATTTGATCTGAAATTACGAATTTTTTATATAAAAGACTTTTAAACTCGGATTTATATTTCTGCAAGACATACCTTCTTGGCGTGACAAAGTCCGTCAAAAATTGCATAGATACGAAAAATTTCCACGTAGAATTATTACTATTAGGTCTAGTTACTTCTTTAACAAAACGGTCTCTTAAAGTTTTCCATCTACCTTGGCACTGTTCGACTGTAGGAGTATGAAGACAATTGTCAAATTTTGAGATGCGCTTTTACAGCTTTCAGATATTAGCGCTAATTATTAACAAACAAGAAGCTCCGCTTACCAGGAAATCCTGTTCTGTCGGCAATGTCATCCCACGCTTTTTTTCTCTTAATTTTGTTTCTGTATTCTAAAGATCGCCGGTCATAAATACATTTGTTTTTACGAACCTCATAAATTAATGTTTCCTCAAACATTTCCATTTTTTTATCGTTTTTTTTTAACTCTTTTTTTATAGAGCTGCCAAGTACAATTATTTCACTACTAGAACTAAAAGTTCACTATTAACAATATTACTATACTTCTGCAGAAAGCGATAAATAAAAGCATCAACATGTAGCAAAATTGCAAAATACTAAATGCATTGCGGAATACCAACTTTTTCTCGGGATAATTGTGTAAGCAGGCCGCAATGAGGTAAGCGACTATCGTCAAGATAATCTAATCAAGATGGCAAATTTGCTGGCGATTATCGCCAAATGCGCTCTCTCAGTTATGTCACATCTGGCGACAATAAAATTGCTGATGCTGAAAACAAATTTCCGTTAGTATTGAGTATAATCCAACCGACATCTTTCTTCTAGAGTTGCGCTTATAAAAAAAAAGCAACTGCAAAAGAAAAATATAAACAGCTGTTGAAAAATGAACTGTTTATACCAAAGTTAACAAAAATAAAGTGCGTCGGAAACCACATGTGTGAATAGCGAAGAAAAAAAAATTGTTAAAAGTAAGTTTAATTTTCTTCTTCTTTCTTACCTCCTAAAAAAATCGCCTGCTTACATAATTACCTTCCTGAATCTTTCTTTGGTAATAAATTATCATAAGCCCTCTTTGCTATTTAAAAAAAAAAAAAACGTTATAGTTCTACCTCTAAGCAAAAACTGTACAGCAGGCGAAATTCCTTAAAATGCAAAGAAAACTGACTGACTGCAAAGCAAAGTAGTTTCCTATTTCCTAAGGATCGCAAAGAGTGACTGGAAGTAAAAGCTTCTTATTATTGAAACGCGACAGAAAAGGCAGACTCCTGCTTTGTTTTTTTTTTTAAATAGAAAAACAGCGGGACGTCTATTACAGGAAAATTAAAATTAATGAAAATTTAAAGAATATAAACCGATAAGTTTTTATAGGACTATATTTCAAATTGTTTGGACATATAAGCCACAAATCTATTGGCTTAGTCCATCCCCATTCAACATACCAAAAAAAAAAAAAACTATCTCAAATTGTTAAATAAAAAAAAAGACCGTAATAAGTAAAAAAATCGTAGTATACAAAAGTATAATAACAACAACTTATCGCAGTTATAACTACGATCGCTACGATATTGAAGTACGCCCTTCAGAAATTTCAAAAACTTCAACTTTCTGCAACATTTACGGCAAAGAGGCAAACAGGAAATTGCAAGGAACAAACTCAAGTATCACCCACCATATCCATCCAATTCAACTAACTCAGCACCATCCTCATCGCCTTTGTAGTCGTCATAATAAAAATAACAACAAAAACATGGCAAACATACACAACATGAATGGTAGAAATGCGAATAGAAGGAAAACTTGTATAAATGCCCGTCTGCCCACCTGCTTCCTTACTTAGCTGAAGCATGTTCGTTAGTTTGTGCGCTCGTTTGTTTCTTCGCTTGTACGATGCCCACATATATGTTTATATACTTATAAAGGAGTGCTGCCGTATACAAAATCTAAGCAGACATTAGAATATCCATATGTTCATAGGATGAAAAATTCTATTAACATCTTGCAGAGATTTATGTGAAAAACATTACAGAGAAAAATTTTTTCTGTACTATTTAAATCTTTTGACTCCTCTTTAGCCACCGATAACAGTCCAAGTCAAAATTGAAAATTTTCACTAATAGGCAAATATTTTCTTGCAATTTTTGATTAATTATCAAGCATGTATATATAAAACAATATACTTTTCTGGTCGTATAATATACTTTCTGGTCGTACAATATACTTTTTTGGTCGTATAGTATACTTTCTGGTCGCACAATATGCACAGACGAGCAATGCAGTGTCTGCATTCATATTTTGTGCGGTGTATTGATGCGGAAAGTACTCCGTATTTAATCGTGTCTTCGTAAGTTGTATTGTATGGACATCAACATGGGAACAGTTGTTAGTATGTTTAATATTAGCTTTGCTAAAATAAGTGAGATATGCCAAATAATACAAGGGTTTTATTTTAATATTAACTCAACGAAATAACTTTTGATTTGATGCAGTGAACAAATACTGCCGTTTCCAGTGTTTCTCTGTGTTTTTTGTTCGATACGTGTGAATCGGAAATTTCCGATAATTTCAAAATGATGATAATTTTGTTATCGGCTGGACGTTTTAGTTTTGCGGCTGATTCAGCTTTCCAGATTATAAAGTTTTATTCAGAAAAATTTATGTGCAATAAAAATAAAAAAATCGGAAATGGTTGAAAGGTTTACTTTTGGAGGTTCGCTTGCTCCCATTACATGCCACGCCTGGAATAAGGATAAAACTCGTATATATTTCTAGATGACTACGTAATCTTATTAAAGTGAATTAAAATTGTGTTTAAATATTTATAGAAATCGCTCTTTCACCTAATAATAATGAGATTCACATCTACAGGCGCGATGGTATGGATTGGAAATCTATTGACGTTTTAAAACAGCATGACTTGCGGGTAATGGGTATTGATTGGGCCAAGAATACCAATCGCATCGTAACTTGCGGTGCTGATCGAAATGCGTATGTATGGCAACAGGGCGATGACGGTAAATGGAAGCCTACCTTGGTATTGTTACGCATTAATAGAGCAGCTACATGCGTTAAGTGGTCACCTGCTGAAAACAAATTTGCCGTTGGCTCGGGTGCTCGTCTTATTTCTGTATGTTATTTTGAGTCTGAGAATGATTGGTGGGTCTCAAAACATATTAAGAAGCCAATACGCTCTACAGTTACATCACTCGATTGGCATCCTAATAATATTCTATTGGTAGCTGGCTCAACAGATTATAAAGTAAGGAATACATATATACATACATATACAATATGAATACATACATATATATATATATATATATATATTTGCTCTGAAAGAGCTCATGTTATATTTGGAATGTCGTTCGTTTTAGGTTCGTGTATTTTCCGCTTATATTAAGGATATTGAAGACCAGCCAACTCCAACTCCGTGGGGAAGCCGTATGCCATTGGGCAATTTAATGGCTGAATTTAAGAATTCTGCAAATTCCAATGGTGGTTGGATTAACAATGTTAGCTTTTCGAGCGATGGCAACAAAATTTGCTGGGTTGGACATGATAGTTGCATTAACGTCGCTGATGCCACCAATGGTAACAATGTGTTGCGCTACAAAACAGAATATCTACCATTTTTGGCTTGCGAATGGATATCTCCTAATACAGTGGTTGTTGCTGGCCATAGTTGTGTTCCATTGATTTACGGTTTGCACAATAATAAGCTCATTTTTATCAATAAACTGGATAAATCGCAAAAGAAGGAGTCGATCGGAATATCTGCAATGCGCATCTTTCAATCACTTGATCGTAATTTGCGCACCGAGAATTCTGATATACTAGTGGATACGATTCACCAAAATGCTATTACATGCATACGTATGTATGCGGGCAATAAAGCGCATGGTACGCGTGTTAGTACCTCTGGAATTGATGGCCAATTAATCATTTGGGATATCGATACCAACTTAATCAATTCCATGAAAAACTTGAGAATTTAATAAAAAGAAGTATTACAGGTTTTTTTGTTTTTTTTTTTTTTTTTTTTTTTTTGCAAATCTGCTATTCATGCAGAAAATAGAAAAATATCAACGTACGTAATTTGATATAATATAATATAATTGACTTTTCGTTACTCAAATTATTTCAGAACTTTTTTTATGAGCATATTTACACAATAAATTTATTTATTATTTTCTATTATTTTACAGTTTATTTCCTAACGTTTCAATTTCATCTAAGAGATATAATATATCCGTTTCCGTTAAACACGAATTTTGAAATACAATGCGAAAGAAATTGGGAAGTTTATGCAAGGGCTGATAGGTGACCATCATTGATCCCTTTTTCATCATGTTCTCCTTAACCTTTGGTGCAATTGTGTGAAGTTTTGTGCTAAATGCTTCGTTGCGTTCCATATTTCTTAAACTTGGTGGCACATACCAAAAGCTAACATTTGTACATTCTGGCTGATCTAAGACTAGTTCGAAACCTGACCTTTTTCGTATAGCCTCCGTTAAAAATTCAGACATTTTAAAGACTTGATTAACATGTTCCTCTAAGCCTTTGGTACCCTTGGCTTTCCACATAAACCAAAATTTGAAAACATCTGCCCTTCGTCCACATTGTATATGTTTATCGCCCGTATCGTAGGTCGTATCATAAAATTTATCCTTTTGAAATAAATAGGAAGCATTGGTGGAATGACATTGGCTAAGAATATTCTTGTGGCGGGTTAGAAATGTTGAACATTGCTGCGAGGCAGCCAACATTTTATGGGGATTCCAAGTAACAGAATCTGCTCTAGTAAGTGAGTATATAAAATCCGTTTTGAATAAAATAGATGTTTTATTAGTTTTAAAAATATGCTTACTTTTCAATGCCATTTAGAAGGTGACGATATTTCGGTGAAATTAATGCCCCACCTCCCCAGGCAGCATCTACATGCATCCATATATTGTATTTTTCACATACGCGAGCAATAGAATTGAGATCGTCAAATGCCCCCAAAACAGTAGTACCGGAAGTAGCTGAAACCTATAGCATAAATGATTTTTATGTGATTGGATGTTATATAATCAAATTTTTAATCTTACCATCATGGGTGCACATCCATCACTTATGCATTTTTCCAAACGTTCTTCTAAATTCTTTATGTCCATTTTACCATAATTATCTGTTTTTATTTTACATACATTATCTGCGCCCAAGCCCATAAACATTGCCAATTTTTCAACGGAGTAATGTGCATCTTCCGATGTGAATATTATCTGACGCTTTGAATAAAATAATCCAAATTTCTAGAAGTAAAATATCAGAAAATAAGCAAGATCGCAACACTAATTCTTAATGGGTATGATCAATAATATTATACGCAATCTAGTTTTCAAAAATAATGTTAAGAAATAAATCCCCTAAAAGCTAAGATGTAAACGAAACCGAGTTCAAATAACGTTCTTATTTTCGATTGTACGTTCGGCTCGAACCCATACACTTTTCGAAATAAATTGTCTTTAGAAATTTCTCTAATAATTTCAGTGATATTATTTCGGTTGATTTATTTATCAATTAAACAAGCTCAAAGAATTTTTCCCAGTTCAATCATTTTTGAATCGATTTCATCTTATCTGCCTCTTTACCTATTACATTTTTATTCAATCTACAGGTGGCAATGTTCGAGATATGATGATGAAATTTGGTAGATTGACATGTTTATGCCTCAGGCCTAACGTTATTGAACACTTATTGGGTCGGATGGTTTTAAGCACGATTCTTTATATTAAGTCCCAAATTAAAAAAATCTTATGAATAAGGGTGACCTTGAAATATCCTGCAAATATCCTGTTTGGATATGTGAAGAGCGCCTATGTATGTTGCGCTCAGCCTAATGGATGTTGTTGTATTCAGCAAGATAAGACCGATTTTGCTACCATCTAGTGCCTAATTTTGAAAAAATCATAACAAGAAAATAAAAAAAAAATTCACTTCTCAAAGTTTCCCAACAAAGATCACTGAATAATAGTAATTCGCCACATTAAATTAATGCCAATTGATGAACGAAAATTTGGACCGAATGTGGCAATTTTTTCTCTCCCGCTGATATAAATAACCATTCGTGAGAAAAAGAATCTTTATACAGCAAAAAGGTCCACTTTTGAATATTTTATGATGAAAACTAATCCGCTAATCCAAGTAAAATGAATATGAATAAAGTGATATTTGTTAAATTTTCAAATTTTATTTTTATTTGGTTTTTGGAAAACCTGAAGAAATTTGATTTGAACAGAGAATTATGCTACAAGTGTTTTGAGTAAAAACTAAATAAAAATTTTGAGGAAGAATTTTTAAGAGCTTTTGTTCACTTTCAAATTTATATATTTTGCTCATTTCCAGACATATGTACGTTTGTTTTTTGGTCATTTTCACACACACACACTGGTTGACTTTGCTTATTTTGAGAGACCTGCACCTTGGTTTCTGGTTTTGCACGTCAGCCTTGCCTGAATGTAGTGTTTGCACACGTTTAGAAAGAATTTATAACAGTATTTTCAATAAAATTGGTTTAGCGCTATTAGGACGTGTAAACTTTTCTTAGTAGTAAAAATCCTGCGATGTGAAGTACAGATTTTAGATTGCAATATCTAGCAGACGCTGATCAAAGAAACCTCAAGCATTGCCCTGTTAAGATTACTTATGAAATTTTGCCCACCATTACAACTCATCGCACATGATGTTTTAAGAGAAGTCTTTTGATCCGTTTACCAACCATCTGCGACTATAAAATTTATGCATGAAGCTTTTCATCTCTACAAACATTGTGAGCAGGAAGCCGCCGCCAGATATTTATTTTTATAAAGGCTGGTCAAATTACTCTACTTTGCCAATTGGGGAAATTTTGCCTAATCCTAACCACAGATTAACTGCACTTACCTTGGTATTTGGATTTTTGTGATAACGAGCACAGCTAATTGCATAACCGTTCGCAATTGAACCACCCGGGCAAAATATTCCATCACCGTAACCGTTATTTGGGAAACCAACAATTTTACGCATTTCTGCTAAAACCTCTTCTTCCATGAGAGTGAAAACAGGCGCTACTTCATATGTGTATACGCTTGGATTCAATGCATCGGTCAGCCATTGCCCAATTAAAGCATAGGGATCGACACCGGAGTACAATTGATTAACAAAATACGGATGGCCGGTTTTCACAGAAAACTGAATAGTTTTATTCAACAATTCAAGCAAATGTTCATGCGTTTCACCCTTGCTTTTCAACTTGAAATCAAATAAGCTTTTAAGTTCTTCGGGCGAATGCCATTCCACCACTTTACTATTGCGTGAAGTACCTTTAAATACGGCCAACGCGATAATCTCGTCGACGCATTTACGCAAGAATTGTTCAATACTCGCACTAGGATGACTTGGTATCAAATTATTTGCTCCTGAATTGACTGCAATGCCAGCAGTATTGATATTGTGTTTATTCATTCTATCGGTTAGCTCAAATTCGGCATCACCTATGCTCGGTGTGTCTGCATTGATCGACAGCAGACCACTAGTCTTAGCAATTTGATTGCCATTATCAAGAGCAGGCATTGCACTGTTCGCTGCTAAACCAATTGTTGCAGTTACTATGTACGAATCGGTATTGCCATTTACTTGGGGTGCGTTACGTGGTGCTTGTTCCGTTTGTTCTCCATTATCATAGGACACTTGCTGTTTAAATATGCTATGGTTATGATGTCTGTGTAACGTTTCACTAGCTAGCATTTTTAAGCGATTTTTGCACGTTTTTATTTCCGCGGTGATAATCAAATTCAAAAAAAAAAAGTTGTTAATTAATGGTAATTGTTGCTGGACTGACCGTTTTGCGATAAAGGCAATCACAACCGTAATAAAATGATCTTACTGGTAAATCGTAACTGAAAAAACTGATTAACTCAAAGCAGCAATTGCTGTTTTTATAAATGTTTAAAGACCCGCGAAACAGGTAGGTAGCTTGTGGCAAGCATGCTGTTCCAAAGTGATCAGCTCTTATATTATTCCTAATATATGCTTTATTCTCTCAACTCGCGGATTAAACCGAAAAAAATATGTGAGAGTTTAATTGCATTATACGCAAACATGTATATATATATATATATATGTATATGTATATTACATATTTATATTAATCTTTCCATCACTTTGAAAAGTCATACTTACCACCACCTGTGAATCTAACAAACAATACGTACTATGAAAGCCGTCAGATTTAAAGTTTACAATTGATTAAGCGAAAAAGGTATGACGAATTTTGAATACTTATCGTCTAATACTTATTATTATCATTGTTATTAGTCAGAGGAACAAATTGTCAAACTAAAGTGTTAAAGGAATAGCATCAGAGGCTGTCAGCTTTATTGAGAACCTTACCGAATTTGAGATTTGAAACGACTACCATTGAGTTGTTAGTCGAGAATTTATTTTTATACATTTATTCTATTTTTGATCGACATTTAATTCCTTTCATGAAAAGTGCATATGCAACATTCATCTCCGTGCAACTCCGTGAAACTAGCAAAGCTGTTAATAGGCGTTGTAGGCAATACGTGAAGTGTTTAAAGTGTTTTTGTGTGTATGCAGTAACACCTTGTTTGTTCGATGTAGCCAATCTCTCAGGGAATGTCCGCTAATCTCGTAACGCGGTAACGTCTAAAGGGAAGTGAGGAAAAGGAAACGAAGAGAGAAGTAGCGAGGTGGTGACCGCAGCCTAGTGGATATGTGTTACGTCTTTAGCAACTGAGCTCTAACTATAACTGCGTCCAAAGCGAACTCTGCCGCAATGAAATTTGTATCGAATTTAGGGAGGGTGATTGTTGTACATATTTCAATAATTGTTGGAAAAGTGTTAGTTACTTAGTCCGTCAGTCAGTTAGTCAGCTAGTTATAAGAGGTTCTCGCACAAAATTTAGAATACGAGATATCTCACAAACGAGAACAACAGAATTTTTCGTGGAATCTTCCCTATATGGAAAGGAGCTCTATTTTAGATATGAATTTATGCGAGCGGTGATCGTGATAATTTTTCAAAGTAAGCGCACTTTATTCCAAGTAATTGGAAATTTGTTCTTTCTTAAGTTTTACGACAAGCAATGTCCTACTTATGTCCAACTGCCACTTGATAAAGTTACGAATGAAACTGAAAATGATCATACTTGGTTGTTAGTAGGTCGATAGTCACTTAGCTATTTAATTAAACCGTGATAGACGTTTACGCGGCAATCATTCTTAAAATGCTATTACGAGAAAAAAAAGAACCTAGAACAATATGAAGCATTAAACCATTACTGTATCTTAATTATAAAAGCAATTTAGTGTTTGCAAAATGAGCAAAACGTAATATAATAAGAATAATTCTTGCGGTCTGCTACGTATTCCATAGTAACTAGTGGCACCAGCTGAATTCATTTTAGATTTTCTACACATTTATTTAATATATGAATGGGTGAATTTTACTTAATTATCTGGTAATTATATGAATAATTTAGCCTCCAATAAGTAGATTAGTTTAATAGTAACAATAGCGATTTCGTGACTAATATAACATAGAATGTATCAGCAAACAATCTAAATATTCCAAATAATTATTATTCATAGTAATTTCAATTTTCATACAAATTTTCGCTAAGCTATGAATTGTTTAGCTCTCCGAGTGAAAACATTCATTGGGAACAAGTACGCTGAACTTCTATTTAAATTTTGTATTATATAAAATTTATTCTTTGCAAGATAAAACCTGAACAAATGTTATTGAATCAATTTAAAAACCGGAAGTAATTTTAATAATATACGTACGCACCTTAGTTCTAAACGACAGCAAATAAATTTAATTAATTAATTATAAGATTTAATTATAAGATTTTTAAATATTCTTAATTACTATCAACGGATACCAGCTGTTTAGTTAGTGAGTGCACGTACATGTTAAAATTTAATTAAAATTTTCTAAACCTCCCTTAATTATTTGACTGACTACAGGGTGTAATCAAAATTATCTTGAAGTCGTAAAACAATATTCAAACGCTACATCCAACTAAGTTTACTGTGCTTTTAAACGTTTTTCGAACAAAATAAAAGTTAATGCCGTCAATTACAGGAATCCATTAATTGAAAAATAAAAACAAAAAAAAAAAAACCAAAAAACCAGAATAAATGTGATTGTAAGAATTAAAATATAAATATGTGAAACCAGTAAAAGTGCTACTTTAGAAAACCACATTAACTTAAATCTTTATTCAATTTCATGACGTACTTATAAAGACATATGTACTGATATATACTCGTCAGATTGCCGGAAGCGTTTTCACACATTTATTCACCTTTGAGATGTTTGGATGTTGTTATCGTTTTTTGACCGTTGTTAATTCCACCTTGAAGTATAGGCAACGATCGAATTGGCTATTCTTGCCAAGAACCCAAATTAAATCACACCAAGGAGCGTAGCGAAATTGCTTCACATAAACCTCAGAAGAGAAGAGAAAAATATTGGTATTAATTATCTATGTGCTATGCCTGGAAAACGTCTCAACTAATTGGGACGGAAAATTTTAAGCTCATGTTCTGTTGAAACCGCATACAAATCCGAAAATCTCCCACTTTCAAATCTGATTCTAGTTCTGAAAAGCCAATACAATTTTTATTCAGTTTTTATAAGCGCATGCTTTACAAATATATGTCCTCTCTACACGTGAATATCTTATTGAACAATTTATTTTTGATTAAAAGGAAATAAATGAAAAATACGCTAAATGAAAAGAGGTGAAGAAAAATATTCTTCTTTCGGGTTTGTACAGATGCCGTAATGTACGTTGCAACGATGTAAAAGGAATCTACCAGCGCCTACGTTAACCTGAGCTGAGCCATACTATGTTGGCGATAAATAAAATATTCTGATTTTCTTGATTAGAAGAGATTGCTCTTAAAAGACCTTTACTTTAAAGGCGGCTGCTTTTTATATCATTCGGTGCATTGAGGTGCATTCTTACCTATCCTTTAACGAAATTCTTCATATTCTCTTTTAAGTCAAATGGCAAAGAATCCTATATCACATATTGTCCTTCATGCTCTTCGTGTTCTCTTCTAATTCGACAATGAATTTTACCTGTTGCTCTCCTCCTCGAATGTAAACAAAACAAATAAGAAAATTGTATTCAGTTGCGACACAATTTTTTATACCCATTACCGTTAGTCTAAGAAAATGTCAAAAAAATTAAAAAAAATATATTTCTGCACTGCATAACGTTGGTTGGGCGTTGCCACCCATTTTGTATTTTTGTAGAATAAAGCTGCAAACATATATCATGTGCCTGAAGCAGATATTTCCATTTTTGGGACCATGAATGCTATAGCAATTAATGGACAGATAGACAGACGGGTTGATAACATGTCCAAATTTGAAGCAGATAGCTTCCTTTTTGCGCCCTGGACACAATAACATGTACAGAGACAGATGGACATGCTTAATTCGGTTCAGAATTTAATGCGGTTTAGGAATGGGGCCTGCGAAGCTCACTTCGAGATGTTTGCAAACAGTTTAGCACAATGAATGTACCCCTCATCCTTTGGTGAGGGATAATAATGTAAATACCAGGCAAAGAGAACTTTCCAAAGTATTATTTAAGCAAGCATAAGCTTTTAAGCAAGTCACGTTTTCATTGCATGCATTATTTAAGAAATTGTTGAGTGCGGCTTATTCTAACGGAATTCAATTACAGTTTGTTTTTTATATGTGTAGTATTTTATAACTAAAAAATATAAAATGAAATTGTTCGTTCTAAATGTTTTCGAAAACTAAATTGAAACGCTGTCTCTGAATGTTTTCCACTAATTACAGCCTCTGCTTGACAACCATTTCTTCATTGCATTTTCTAGCGTCAAAGCTAAACAAAAATAGAGAAACTCGCAGCAAGGATGAAGAAGATGACGCTGCGACGGCCATTCGAATTACGCGCCCTTTCTAACTTCGTGGGAAAAATTTAAATTCCTTACACAAAGCGGACTATCTTCAATATTCTTTCTAACAGTGCGATGAATATTTAGCCTAAAATTGTTACTACGGTGTTGTAGCTTCCTCCAACACGCCCCCTTCCTCGGACCCATAGAATCCCTCCATCTCTTCAGCTACAGCTTTCTTTCACCTTCGTAAAATTTGTACGGTTTTTTTTCATTTCCATACAACCGGGTAATCTCTGCTTCTGCACCTATTAGTAGCAAGTATAGCAAGATGCATGACAAATTTTGTAGATTGTCCAACCGCGGCTATTCAGGCGACTTCAAAAATATTTTTATTTATTTTTTTTTTTTTGGGATGTTGAGTTAAGATGGACCAAGCGAATAAATTTGCGGATTATATGTCCAGATAATAAACAGTAGTCATTTTGGCAAAAAACATATATAAACCACAACAAAAAAAAACGCGTAATAGCTAAAGCCATTTTCACCGTTATGCATATGCTGCTCATGCTACTCATGACGAGTGTAAAGCAAAACTAAAACAACCGCAAACGACGGTGAATTATTCTCAATTGTAAACGAATTAGGAAGGGGTTATTGAATTGCACTCAGATGCAGCCAATTTGGGACGGGCTCTTGCTCTTAAGTATAATTATAGATTGTTGAGTTGTTGAAAGTGTGAAAAGTGAAAAGTAATAGAAAATGATTGAACGCAAAAAACGAAAAAATATCATTTATAATGCATTAAAAAGATAAATTCGTTTTCTAATAAAGCAAGTTACTTTTCCGAGGTGACGTACATTTCTT